TTAGAATAATTTCATTATGTGTTATGGGAACTCCACTATGTAACATAGTAATGCTTACTATATTAACGTAGTAACTATGTGACATAGTTACATAGTAAGCGTAACTATGTTACATAGTAATGATATAATTACTACTATGTTACAATTATTACTATGTAACATAGTTACGCTTACTATGTAACTATGTCACATAGTTACTACGTTAATATAGTAAGCATTACTATGTTACATAGTGGAGTTCCCATAACACATAATGAAATTATTCTAACGTCATAACGGTTACTATGGGGTAGAGCAATCTCCTTAATGGTAATAGGTACTATGGACGTAGCAATAACTACTACGTTACATAGTAGGCTTAACTATATAAGATAGTCAGCTTTATTATGTGACAGTAACGCTTACCAACTATGTCACTATGCAACTATGGTAACATAGTAAGCGCTACCATGTTCTATAGTAGCATAGTAGTATTACGTAAAATGTCCTAAAACACGTAATAAAATTATTTTAAATAATTAAATAGCATCCAGTAATAATAATACATAGTAATAATTGTAACATAGTAGTAATTATATTATTACTATGTTACATAGTAATAATATTTAATACAGCTGAGCTTACAATGTAACATAGTAATTATCGCTATGTCCATAGTACTTATTACCATTGAGCAGCTTACTATGCCCCATAGGAACCATTACGATGTTACATGGTAGCCGTTACCATCTCCACAGTAATATTTACAAAACTTCGGTAACGCTTACTATGTGCGGATGTCGGCATGGTAATCTTAACTATTTTATTTTCTCCGTGCACCTACATACAGACACCATCTAATAATCACATACTCGGACTTTTTAGACCATATTTAGTTACCCTACCACAAAAAATTGGAAACTTAAATTTGCGCAACTACAAAGCTTTCATCCGGAAGTAGCAATAACTAATCCTCCTATCCATGAAATTGACTTCGCTCCACTAACCACAAAAACGAAAGTCCAAGTGAAACGTCTCATCTCGTCCTCCCCAACCAAATTACATAATAAAAAGAAAACCGATTTCCCCTGAACTCCTAACGACCCCCCTCTCTCAAATTTACGTAATGACTCCCTCCGATTATTTCCAGAGTCACTTTCACAAGGCAACAGTCCACGAAAACAATCGCTGATACCGCAGCCGCGTGGTGGTCTAACAACAATGAAGTCGAAAAATCCGAAGCCAGAGCGCGAGAGGTGGGAGCGCCGAGGAAGTAGAAAGTTCACTCACTTGCCCCGCACAAGCTCCCTGAAGACGCCCCAGCCGGTGAGGCGCCCACTGATCGAGGCTGTTCGTCCTTCGAAGGAGAAGCCTCCCAAGGCCACGACAAAATTGCCGAAACAGGCGATTAAGTCTCCCACCAAAATCCCCATTCGGAACCCAACCAACTCCGTTAACAACCGTTTCGTGAAGGTTGCCCACGATAATAACTCAAAAATTAAAAAGCCGGGCGCGTCTCCGGGACAGCAGGACCAGCCATCAACCCCTAACGTCCCGTTATCGATGACGAACGTTTCGAATCCCCCGGATTCGTCGCCCCTCATCACCGACGAGTCAGTGGTGATGGGCAGGCTCTCTGGACACAGCGACGATAGTATTAGGGGACCGAGGGAGGAGGACGAGGAGTTGGGGCTAGTGGACTTGCTGAAGCAGTCGTCGGGGGCGAGTGGCACCTCGAGTGTCGTCAATGCCACGACGACAACAGCCGTCCAACCCCTGAGGATCGACGCTGCGACCATTCTCCCCGAGCCCCAGGTCCCCCCGGAGAGGAAGAGCCCTGTCGCCCCTGCGCCTGCCCCCAATCCCGCCAAGAGAGAGACTCCCTCGTCGGTAGAGAGGAGAGAAGTCGAGAGGAGTCAGACTGTCACTGCCGTGGCTTCAGTTGAGCCAGTGAAAGAGGAATCAGTCCCGCAACCCCAGCCGTCGAAAGCTCCCAAGCCGACGACCTCCAAGGACGAGGTCAAGCTCGACAGAGACGAAACGAGAAATAAGCCTGTCGAGGTCGAGGCTCTGCGGCCCGCCAACCCCCAAGATACGGGCGTTGTAATTGATGAGAGCCAGAGGACGTCGAAAGCTGGGTCGACAGCCCAGTCCAAGGCGGGATTGAAACCCCAGTCCAACAGGACGAGTCCTCGCAGCGCGGGAGGGGGGGAGAGGGAACAGGGGATGAGGGAGAGGGAGAGGAGCGACGTTCAGGTGTCCACAACTGCCAAAGAGAAATTGGGGAATCACGGGAGTGAGGCGTCGTTGAAGTCCTCGAAGTCGAACGGACTGTCCACGGGCTCCGCGGAGAGCATCCGCTCGACGGACACGGGAGTGAGCTTGAATACAGTCAGAGGGGTGCACGGGGTGTCGTCGGCCAGGGAGAAGAGGGGAACGCACACGGTGAAACGACCGGATGAGATTGAAACGCTCAGTGGGAATGTCATGCATCTGGAGAGGGAGAGGAGAGCGGAGAATGGAGAACCTGCGTGAGTATCGGAAATTGGTTGGGGATTTTCGATTGGTTGAATTGTTTTTTTTAACTTCCCGGCAGCGAAGTTATTGTAATGGCCCCGAAAATCAAAAATCGATTTTTCATCAAATCTCCATGTTTCAAGGTCTTTTCGATGTTTCTAGACAATTTTAAACAAGATGTCTGTCTGTGTGTGTGTGTGTTACTAGGTATGTACGTGGTCAAAATTTTGGTTAGCGATTTCTCGTGAACGAATTGTCCGATTTGACTTTTTTTTTTTCAATCGATAGGTTTTCATTCAACCTAGAGCGGATTAGATTTTGGCTGATATCTGTTTAGTGGTTTTTGAGTTTTCCCGGAAAGAAAATTTCAAAATGACAAAAAAGCAACGAACACAGACAAGGGTTTCTCATGAACAAATAAACAGAGTATTGAGAGTTGAAAAGAATTCTTTTAGTCAAAATGCGAGGAATAATAATATCGGGAAGTTGTTGGTGCGACCCGTCCGATGGGTCAGGCCCACATGAATACATCCGCTACCAACCCACCCACAATGGGAGCGATCAACAGCCCAATCCACTAGTTTATTGGTATTTTACGGCGCTTTGGCTAGGTTGAGGGTATAGCGGTTATCAAGAATTTTGAATGGTTAGATCTCGTCATCCCAGCAAACAGTATGTCGACAATTTGTCGAGAAATTGCCGGTGTCGTGTTAAATTATAGATGGCACTGGCACAAATTGTTTTGTGGAATTCTACCTGACAGGGATTTGAACTCGGAAGCTTGCATTGGGTGAATTCGGTAGGGATGCGGCACACGGAGAAAATTATTTGGTGAATTTTGTCAACTAGGTGTTGAAATTCACCAACTGGTTGTTGAAAAAATGAATTACCAAACAGTTGTTGAATTTCAGCAGCTAGTTCACTGAGAAAAATCAGAAGTTCGATTTACAATAAGAAAATAGTTGAGGCAGTTCTGGTGAACGATACGATTTTTTTTTGTATGCGGCACATAGCATTATAGTAATTTCACAAGCGTAATTTTTGCAAATCAAATTACAGTTAAACTAACCAAAGTTCAAAAGTAACCACGACAAATCTATCGTGAGGAGAACTATAAAATAGTAGCAATGACTGCATTCCATTGTCATAATCACTTCTCCGGCCATAGTTACCGTAACCCATGAAAGTTGTTGAGAACTTTTTGATTATAGTTAGGTGGTGATGGAATATAGTCAGAAGAATCATATTTTTCTCTCAGTGTTGGTGAGATTTAACAACTATTTAGTTAAAATTCAGGAAAAGATTTTTCAATTTCATTCGACAACCATTTGTTAAATTTTCAATAAACGTCCGTCGATTTATGTGATGGATCAAATTTAACAAGGATTGTAGATTATTGCGAAAATATCTTCTGAGGGAGACATTGATCGATTGTCACGATATAAATAATTGCGGAATTGTTTCCAAATGTATATATGCCTTCACCATCTAGTTTGGTAGTCAAAATTGATTGAATGAAAATGAAAAATCTTTGCTGAATTTTAATTAATTAGTTGTTAAATTTCACCAACTAGTTGGTGAAATTCATCAAGTAGTTGTTGAAAAAATGAATTACCAACTAGTTGATGAAATTCACCAAATAATTTTCCCCGTGTATAACGAGTCGAGGATATCCAAGTGGCTTTTACGGTATGGTGCAGAGACACTATACAGAGTGTCCCACGACAGATCCTTTTTTCTTCAAGGGTAACGAAGAGGGTAACCAATAACATAAAATAAAACGAAGAGTGTGCTTTTTGAAGTGGAAAGTTCCTCTTCCATTTTTGGATTTGAGCACTTTTTCCCCGCTTTTTGGAAAATGATTTTGAGCGATAGGGCAAGAGGGGGAGTACACTTATGAAAAAATCCGACAGGATTTTCTACAGGATGTCTTATAGGATTTCCTATAGGATATCCTAAAAAATTTTCAGTAGCAAAAAAATATATGAAAAAATCCTATAGGATTTGTTGTGAGATTCCTTATCAGGTTTGTCCTATTGGATTTTCTACAGGATGTCTTATAGGATTTCCTATATGATATCCTATAAGATATCTATTGAAAATCCTGTGAAAAGATCACTATCCATTTCACTATCTGTTTCACACATTTTACATTATATTTTACATTTCACCCGTTTTTACATTAAAGAAGGGAATTTATATAGCGTTCCACATATTTGTGACGTCATAGGAAGTGATTGGATGGGATTTGGATGAGGTTGGAGGGGAACCGGGATTATTCTCACCATGAATAACCAGAAAATTTTTACTAAAAAAACAGATAGTGAAATATTATTGATCTGATTTCATCCTATGGATGCAATTTAGGGTCATAGGGGTCAGATTGAGGGTCAAAAGACTGATATGGGGGTCATATAAGGATCATATAGAGGTCATATGAGGGTTATATAAGGGTTATATGGGGGTCACATGGGGACATACGGGGGTCATGCAGAGGTCATAGGACTTTCATATGACCCTCATATGACCCCCATATTTCCCTTAACCCTAGTTGGTCACCATATGAGAACTTGCGACTTGGTCACCTCCGCAGGGAATCGCCGCTGTGTTATTTAGGCCCGAGCGTTGCCGAATTCACTCTAGACGGCCCGGGCGCGTTTAGCGAGACTTCGGCAACGTCGCCCAACGGGCAATTTCATTTAACTTGGGAAAAATTGCCCGTCTGTTAGAAAGAATTTTTTTCCTTCAGAAATTGTGGATATAAATAATTTTAAAAAATATTATAATTTTATAGACACTTGAATTGATGCATTCCAATTTTTTAGGATTTTTCCGCTCAGCCAGTCAATGGTAAGAAAAAAAAATCGACCTTCTGCGGCGTTTCCCTCCTATGGTGACCAACTAGGGTTAAATGACTCTAATATGACCTATATTGACCCCCACACGATCCCCGTGTGTTTAAAATACACACGATATTTTTGAACCTCATTGTGACCCTTATGCCCCTGAATTTTATAGGAAATCCTGTTGAAAATCTCATATGAAATCCCATAGAAAATCCCATAGGACATCCTCATAAATGAATTATTTACAAAAATAACTATACTATATGCAATACAAGAGCAATTCCCCACTTGTTCAGGCATGAAATTGATTTCTGGTCAAATTATGAATACGAATAAATTTTTTACGATTCCGAACAAATGATTTTTACGGCGGAAAATTGATATTTACAAAAAATATTCCTAAGTTTCAAAAATTGCAATTCTTAAATTATTCCATCAGTTATTTTCCTCCAAAGCAGACTTTCTAATGTTGTTTCAGATTTTTTAAATATTTTCCAACTGTTCAATATCGAGATTGAAAATTCAGACCTGCAAAGTTTAAATAATAAACTACAATGATTTATGAAATCATTGTAAATGTCTGGAAACTTAGGGTCAGAGGGGCTCAAATGAAAGTTCTGATGTTCGACAACAAAAGTAGAAAAAGCATTTCACTGGAAAAGAGAAATCGCCAAAGTACTTGGATATCCTTAAGTCGACTTGGCTCTTAGCTGAGTATTCGAGGTATTCAGCTGAATATCTCCGAACCTGAAGGAGATAGCCTAATTTTCATAAGGACCTTTTTTGTAGCTCTCAATGGGCCCTCCAAAAAAGGATTTATCAAAAATTTTGCTATCTGCCTTAGATTCCGAGATATTCATTGAAAACTGATCAATAGTCTAAATTGACTTGAACCGTTGTATCGTTTCGCTGCTGAATTGGTGAATGGTTTGATGTGGATCGCCTAGATGATTCCACATGATGTGGGATGATTTGGGTTGAATTATGGAGGAAGGAAAGAGCATGTGTATACGGGTAATTGAGTCCTTGCTCATCAAAGTTTCTTGACCTCGGTCGTATCATGCGAGGGCATGAGCGTGCGAGGGAGCTACCCCCCTTTGTACCCTGACCACAAGACTCCTTGGTACTCCCTCTATCGATCCGCCGGGAACTGCTGAGATTTGCATGCTACACTGGAGTCTACGTTCCTTACCACCCCTTCCATTCCTCCTTCACCGGAAGTCAACAGCGATCGAAAACGACATTCGCATTGTCAACTGAAGCCTTTGGGCTGCATCAGGGGGTTGAGGAAGAGAATTATTGGGGGAGGGATGATGAAGATCGGGTCGATGGGGGGCTGGGAGGTACACGAGGATTCTAGAAAAATCGAAATATCGTAGCGTTGTTTTTCAATTAGATAAAGGGGTATTCTTGCTTGACTGAGATTGATTTGCGGTGGATGTAAACGCAACTGTTATTCATCGGCTTTATGAAATCGATTTATTGAAGTTCGAATAGATTCGATGAAGTTTAAGTGAATTTCGTCACGAATGAAAAAATTTAACCACAGTTGGTCACCAAACGTGACCCTGCGATTGGTCACCTCCGCGGGGATTCCCCGCTGTATTATTTAGGCTTTAGCGTTGCCAAATTCACTCTACACTACCCGGGCGCGGTTAGCGAGTTTCCGGCAACGTCGCGTCATGGGCAATTTCATTTAAGGTACTTCCTCAGTGAGTTATACTTGGTGAAAATTTCGCAATGAACTGAAGACATGAATTTGGAACATATGTTGTTGAGGACATGTAAAAACGACTCCCAAAATTTCAAGTATTTTTTCCACGCGAATTTTTGAGATATACATCGTCAAACATTCAATTTTTGTATTTTTTAAGTTTTTGTCAATGCATACCTCAAAAATTCGCGTGGAAAAAATACTTGAAATTTTGGGAATCGTTTTCACATGTGCTCAACAACATATGATCCAAATTTTAGGTCTTCAGTTCATTGCGAAATTGCCACCGAGTATAACTCACTGAGGAAGTATCTTAAGGTACTTCCGGAGTAGTCATATGGGAGTAGAAGAAAATGTGCTACAGGGTTGAAATTTTGAGAATATATTCTTTCAATAAATTAGAAAGTTGTCCCGAAAGTCCCAACACGATTTACCACATTGATTTTTGTAGAGA